TGGGGAATTCTGGGAGTTGAAGTCCACCCATCTTAAAGTTGCCAAGGTTGAGAAACATTGAATTAAAGTAGCATGTTTTGGGGCTTTGAATGTCCTCAAAAGGTGGACGCTCCTATTGGTATTAAGGGAGTAGCACGGATGAATTCATGAAATTACTGTGAATTGAATACAACTCAAGATGTTATATTTGTTCTCAGGAATGCTTCCTTCTTCCTCTGCAGGAACCAAAACAGATGTTTTCCTTAACATCTGCCAGGACCCTCCGTTTCTACTGAAACGCTTCAACCCTTTGGGTTTTCCCACATCGATGGGGGGCTGTAGCCCCCCCCCCCAAAAAACAGATTTCTGCTAAACAGAGAGAGAAAGTGACTCTGAAGGTTGGAGAGATCCGTTTTTATTTTTTCCAGACCATTATCGGAGCACGGAGAGGTGGTGAACGCGGAGGCAAGGGTCCTTGATGAGCCTGACTCAGATCCAAAAGCACTTTTGCCTTAATAAACAGGCTCTGTGTGTGTGTGTGTGTGTGTGTGTGTGCGCGCGTGTGTGCGTGCGTGCATTGCAGAGACTGCAATGCCCTAAAAGGATTACAACGCCTGGCTGATGGTACCCAATAACCCAAGATTTCTAGATGTGGCAGCACGAGGACATATATTTTTATTACTCCCAGCGAAGAAAACACCACCAGGTTGAGAACAGGGAGGACAGAGAAGGCTCTGGGGGGCTGGTGAGAAAGCAACACCCCCCCCACCCACGGAAAGAAATCTCCAGCTGCAGGCATCCCGTCGCTTCGTCTCACCCACCCGGCCCTGGAGTTGATTCCTGTGCAAATCTTGATGCTTCAATAGTTACTGGGCGTTTGAAGACTTCAACCGTGTGCCCACAGGGCTACATGACCCCTTTGTGCCTTTTTTCTAGGGGGTGGATCTGCAGATGCAAAGAGCTGGGGGAGGTGAGATCCTTCGGCAGCGCTTTCTGCAACTTGGGAACCATTTGCCCATTACCAGCAAATTGTAGGGATCAGGAAGAGGCATTGCCTACTTCTCAGAAATGGTGGCTTAAGCCAGGGTTCCTCAACCTTGGCCACTTTAAGACGGATGGACTTCAACTCCCAGAATTCCCCAGCCTTGGGGAATTCTGGGAGTTGAAGTCCACTCATCTTAAAGTGGCCAAGGTTGAGGAACCCTGGCTTAACAAGAGTTCGTGGCCAAGCTGAGCGTGACCACAGACAGCACAGGAAACCCTCTATTAAAAAAAAAAAGTTTTCTTATTATCTTATTGGCAACATCTCTTCTTCAATCGTGTTACCCTGGTATTTAAAAAGATAAGAACTGGACCAGGCCAAAAGCTTAACTAGTCCAGTGTTAATCCTCCAACCAGGACAAGAACAAAATGACCAAATTCACACTTTCCAGCTGCTCCCCAGGAAAAGTTCAAGATTTTGGTATTTCGGTTGATCTTCAGTCCTGGAGGCTCCATGGACAAGTCCTCATGGAAGTACAGTAGTCTGCAATGGCCTTCATCGTGGTTCCCCCCACTTCGCCTCAATCTCCCAGTCTAGCCTACAACCCTGAGATTTCCTGGTAGTCTCCCATCCAAATATCAGTCTGAGCCTATACAACTGCTGAGACCCAAATCCACCCATTGCTGCCATCTGCTGAAACTGTAACTGTATACTGGTGTTTCTCAACCTTGGCAGCTTGAAGATGGGTGGACTTCAACTCCCAGAATTCCAACTCAACTGCCAAGGTTGAGAAACACTGCTGTATACTGTATAAAGCCCTCAACCATCCAGGATGACATTTCTTCCAACAACATCTCCAGCTCCACAGTTCCCTACAATCTTTGTCAGAAGTCGCACTTTCCGACTGCATCACCTGAGAACCCAACCTTCTCTATAGTGGCATCGATCCTGCCAATGGCTTCTGGCCTTCAAAAAGCCAGGCCCTGCCACGGTTGTGTTTCACACATTATTTCTTTGATGGGTTTCCTGCTCCCCCTTCCCATTTCTCCCCAAAACAACAACCCTGTGAGGTGGGTCAGGCTGAGAGAGAGAGAGTCTTTCATGGCTGAGGGGGGACTCGAACCTGGGTCCCTTGTTCCTAGACCGACATCTTCGCTCCACCTCATTCTCTTACAGCGTCACCAGGCTTTGTTTCATTCAACGGGGCCTTTGACTCGATTCAACTCGCTCCAAGTTTAGTAATAATTATTCATCCTTCTGCTTATCTGTTTTTAATTAGACCTACAGAGGTCTTTTCAAGGAAGCCTTTGTGTTAATAGTCTCAGCGGTTGGCCTGAACTAAGAAAGTTCTCTGCTGCTCTGTTTATCATTTATTCCATTTTGTCTTATTTATTTCCACTTTCATCTTCTTTTAATTCTGCGTCTTAGGTTGTATAAGGCTGGTCAGTCAAGGAAATAGAGCATCGCGACACCACTATTTTCATCACGTCATCTTTGTGGCTTCCTAAATGAATTGTTTTTAATCAGGCACTGGCATTTGCATTCATAAATCCAGCAGTAATTTACAAATATTTCTGCTATTATTGGGTAGTGTCTCTTGTATTCGTGTCATTGAAGTTTTAAAATATACTGCTGATTGTTATTGCTGTTTTAATTTTGGTGAGCAGCTTAGAGTCTGCAAGGATTGAGGCGCCAGATAAATTGCAGGCATAAATTAATACCAGCCCTTTGTTTCTCAACCTTGGCAACTTTAGGATGTCTGGACTTCAACTCCCAGAATCCCTACTGGCTGGGGAATTCTGGGAGTTGAAGTCCAGACATCTTCAAGTTGCCGAGGTTGAGAAACCCTGGTATAATCATTAATCCATTACAGCAAGTTGACCCAGATAACCTTCTTCCGTGAGTTTGTCGAATTCGCTTTGCACCATCAAAACTGGTAACCGCGTTTGCGGTAGCCTTATTAAGCTGTGGTTTGTTTCCCCTAGGCTTTGTTGAATAAGCCTCCATTTCACACATCGCACCCAACCAAAAATTGCTGAAAGTGACAAGCCAACCAAACGCAGGGATGAACGCAGCCCATGTGTTTTGGGTTGCCTAAGACTGTAACATTCTGGCTGGAGCCCTCCACGTCGTGTGGTGGAACATGGTCTGGAGGGTTTGATCGTCTGCTGCTTTGAAATTGTTAGCCTAAGGCAGTGTTTCTCAACCTTGGCCGCTTTAAGATGAGTGGACTTCAACTCCCAGAAGTCCCCAGCCAGCCATG